AATGTGATCAAAGATTAAAACAGCATTTTTATTTGAGCTCTTCTTCATTAAAAACGACAAATCCGGATTTTCATTCCCCTTTCCGGTTTGTACTTTACACAATCCAAGATGGCGACCATCACTAACTGAATACACACGCTATTTCAGCGTTGTCAAATGCAATCATATGGGAGTAAATTAATTTATAATAGATGTAATAAGTGTTTGTTTTGTTAATCCAACAGTAGGTACCTCAATTAATCACCTATTGACCATGCTAAAAGGATCCGGTGATAATTGCTTTAGGCTCCAGTGAGCACGCTTATTGCCGGACACCTGTGGGCTTGTCGTCCGGTCCCCCTCCCCACTAATTACAGGCCCCCTGTGGCAATACGCCTATCGTGCAACTGACCAGTGGGGTCATTGCTGGACTTGGGTCAGCCGTGTGATTTAATCAGTGTCAATTTCTTGTGTAAAAAGACCACCTTCAGTACAAATAACAAGGTGATACGGTTCACAGTTTAAGGTGATACGGGTCAATTAAGCTGATACGGCAGGGAGGATTTCAAAATGAAGCTGATACGGAGCCGTATCAGCTAAATGGCCTGGGGAGAACCCTGATAACTGATTTGGAAAGATTATTATGATCTACAAGAGACGATGGCAAACAACTTCAGAAAAACATAATATTTGTCTTATACTTGCAACCCCCTTGACCACTAATGAGTGGTACCCCACTCTGGGTATTAGATGTGGTCCCCAGGAAATTAACTCACCTATAAGTGTGGAACGGTCATCCGAAGGAATGGTCTTAGCTGTACAGCTCATTACAGTGAGAACTCTCTGTAGCGTTATATAATCAGCCTCTGCAACAGGTCATAAAATTTATCAGGCAATAGTATACAGTTTCTGGTCTACATACAGGTGTGAGAGGAGGAGTCATCCATCCATTATATCAAAGTTAACACACAATACTTGGTCAATACAATCTGTCATAAATAACAATATTTCCTCTTTTTGCGAGAGATATGTCTATATTTACATTCGTGCTGCAACCCACTTTATGAACATTACCAGCAGAAATGCATTTCATTTGAGTATGAAAGCATTAACTCTCGTGACGAAGCACATGGTTTACTCATAACGTCATAGATTAACCTTGTTCGATGAGAGTCTTGTCGCTTCGCTTCAGATAATATGGAGAATGCCCCTGCTTCAAACGCTCAAATGGCTATCGTTAATTATTGGCGCCAATTTTATTTAAATAGGGCTTTTCCGCCAATGTTATTTTAAGGACGACGCATATACAAAATGCAGTGAATAAATTTATTATTTAAGAACAAATAAATAAAATGAAACAATTGTTCTATAGTAAAATTGTAACAAGAGGCCCAATGGGCCTGCATTGCTCACCTGGTATTAATCTCACACTTGTAATCTTAATAGTGGACTAAATAACAGCTACAGGCAGAATATCAGTGTTTGATTCACAAGAACCTATCAAAAGATTTAAACATATGGCGACTGTGACCTCGAATGTCGAACAAGGACATTGGGTTGAAAGTTTGTCAAAGTCATTTTTTCAAACAAACTTGGTAGCCCTTCATCCCAGCATGCTACAGGCCCAATTTCAGTACCCTGGGCCTTTTGGTTATTGAGAAGAAGTTGTTTGAAGATTTTAAGACATTTGACCCTTGTGACCTTGGAAGTGGGTCAAGGTAATTCATTTGAATAAACTTGGTAGCCCTTCATCCCAGCATGCTACAGGCCCAATATCAGTACCCTGGGCCTTTTGGTTAGCCTTTTGGTTATTGAGAAGAAGTTGTTTGAAGATTTTTAGACATTTGACCCCTGTGACCTTGGAAGTGGGCCAAGGTCATTCATTTAAACAAACTTGGTGCCCCTTCATCCCAGCATGCTACAGGCCCAATATCAGTACCCTGGGCCTTTTGGTTATTGAGAAGAAGTTGTTTGAAGATTTTACGACATTTTACCCCTGTGACCTTGAAAGTGGGTCAAGGTCATTCATTTGAACAAACCTTCGGGCCAGGTTTGCTAAATATATGGATTGAATGGCTTTTTTTTTATTTTCATGCCAGTATGAACACAAATCGGTTACATCCATATTTCATGAAGCCCGCTAAACACCGTTCAATCCCTATTTAATTTTATTGAAGGTATATTCCGCAACACCACATTTGACCTGGATTGTATATCAAAACCTTTTAAAGGTAAATGGCACCACCACATGTTTTAAAATCGAAGAGAACTCACTTCAGAGCTATTCTTTGACTCGGACATTTAGTTCCCTAGCCTAGTCCTATTAGTTAAAACCAAAACAAAATTAAAGGGTGGTTTCAACATCAAACATTTTATAGAATTTTGCAGTAAATGAAGCTCGTCTAATCAGACAGCCTGGGGGATACATACTCTGGATGGTCTATATACTTACCCTGGGTGGCGGCTGGTTGTTTCTGCCAGTATTCCAGCACAAACTTGTGGCCGAGTTTGGGGGCGGCCGGTGCTATTTCAGACAGCAACATCCAAGCATTCTATATCATCAACATGAAGTTATAGTCCATTTCACATAGATTGAGTCACATTACAAACAAAGAGTTATACTGTTATTTTTAAACCTTTACTTTGCCCTTGAATGACTTCAAATTCAACAATAGGCAAAAAACATGAGATAGTAAGCCATACCAAGTATATTTGGCAAGGGGTATGATGATGTCATTATGTTTCCTAGACAACGGTTGACAGGTTTGTGCAAAGTCAGACCTTGCTGAATTGTCCAAGGGAAAAACATGAAAACAAAATTGATATTTCGACCAATGTAAAGCAGGCAAGTACCTGGTTGTTGTCACTATCTATGTGTGTCTCCAGGGCAGTGATCAAATTAGGCTTTATTTTACCCTGCCTGTTCCACTGTATGCATGCCTTCTGGAGGTATCGTCTGTAACAAATATACCATCATAATCATTCTTTTTCCCTTGAAAGCAATATTTGATGTCATTTCATATCTTTGGGGCACTACAGAGAAACCTAACCAAATCTGGAAATCTGTTTAAACCTGACCTTTACCCATTCACCCTTAAAGTCCCATTTGAACCTTGCTAAATTATAGACCGGGCAGTCCAGTCCAGTTTAGATATGTAGAGGTGGTTGAGTTAAGCCACGCTCTAGATCTGTAATAACCCGTATTAACCAAACTCCAGACATGTTTAAACAATTCCTACAATCTAAGACTTTTTTTTGTAACACTCAACCAGAAACTGCTTCTAGAATTTTCTATCTTGCTCGATTTGTCTGGTGCCTTTTGACAACATTTGGTACTATAATTTACTTTCTAGCTTTGTGTCCAGAAAAAAAACACCCTTTCACTATAGTGGCATCAAATCACACCATATTTTCAACATTTTTTGATAAACTGTGGTAAGTTTTGAGTTTAGACATTCTTACTACAGTTGTACTAAGGTTGGCGTTTCTTTGTTGAACCATCAAAGTAAGGAAAAATTATTTAAATAAATTTTGTAAACCGAAATATCATTTTCATCGATTACCTGAGCTCAACATTTTCAGATTGCTCCATGATGGTGAGGAGGTCCCAGGCTAGAGTGTGGGCAGAGCTTCGTGACTTGGGGGCGGGGACGATGTTGTGTATTAATATGTCCTCCAGGGTCTCCATACATTTATCCTGGAGACTCGACTCACGGTCAATTGTAAGTGGCATCACACCCTCCAGCCAAGCTCTATCAGACAATTGTACTGTTAATTATATCCATTTAATAGCAACACAGTAAACCCTCGATATAACAAATCTCATTTACATTTTAACTAAACTTCAATATAATGCCCTTTGTTTTATTAATTACCTCAGTAAAAGCCAACAAATTCAATGCCTCCCTTATTTTAAATTCCTTTTATATGTCTTCCTTGATATATTTCCAAACCCTTTTTAATGCCAATATTTTTCTTGAAAAAGAGGGACAATATTGCAAAGATTTACACAAAAAAATCAAACTTTACTTTTTAAAGCAGCAACTTTTGGATTTTTTTTTTCAAATGCTCTTTATTTTGGAATCACATCAAGATATTATTCACCATTATATATCACGAGGACAAGGTATATGGTACTTTCGAAGAGTTGTCCTCAAAATACACAAATTGTCTACAACTGCCTATCAAACATGTTTAGAAATCTTACACAAATTGCCACAGACACCTTTAACCTGGGTTTATCAACATAGCACATTCAAAATACATCCCGTTTTGACTTTGATTGAAAATTGGGGGTCCTCAATAAATATTCGGGGTATTAATAAAATGATAATTCTCATATTCATTGATTTAAGTCATATACATCAAATACATTCAAAAGCTGTAGATTTCAAAGCATAACCAGTTAATACCCTAAAACTGTGCTATGACTATCTTGAATAAAAGTTGGTAAGAAGAAAAACCAGACAGGGGTTTACATGAAGTACATTTAGGATTCTGCAACAAATACCCCCATTTTCCATTAAAGAACCCCGGAAATCTGAACACCTGTGTCTCTATGAACCCCTGAAATGACACCTTAAAAAAATCCAGACGCCAGACGATTTTTTATGATGTATACTACTTAAACCAATGACTACTGAGAATTATCATTTATGAGGACCCCAAATATTTATCGAGGACCCCCAATTTTCAATCAGTCAAAACAGGATGTAGAACCTTGAACCAGACTTACTGTTGTAATGTTTTCTCTGTAGGCATCTCCAGCAGTAGAGAGGTCAGCGACTGCATGGCCTGTTTCCGAGCTGATAAAGCAGGGTCTCGGCATCTCTCCACCAACAACTCCAGATTCTGACGATAAAATTGGCTGTCAATGTTTGGTAAATTTTTCCAGTATATTGTGAAATAATAACATTTGAATAATTAAACTTCAAAACTGTCAAGGATCTGATAATGTCACAACTTTTCAGCTCTGAAATATCCTGGCAATACAAAATATTCGTTTGAATTGAGGCAATCATTCTTCTTTATCAGAGATCAGGCCGTGTTAGAGTGTACTGCATATATACATGTAGGAAAGATACACGTCACAAATTCTTTTTTTTTAAATGAGTCATTAGATTTAGTGCTTAAATCATGTTCTCAGGTAGAGAATTCCAGTTGCTGTTTCCTAACGTCTAGCCTGTTACTTGATAAGAGGCTTACAGTGATTTACAGATGTGTAAATCAACCCTGTTAGATAGGTAGTCTGAGTGTTGATATTATTGGCATACTAACATATAGCCTGAGTCAACTTTGATTTTTATTAAATCTCCTGAAACTACAAAAAGATTACCCTATTTAAATTTGAAACAATTACCACACCAGGACAGTACAGTAGAAAATGTGTTGAACAGGTTAAACACTTCAGTGTCCAATTCATTCTGGATCATTTAACCATTCAATATCTTATGTAATAAAATTACTATCCTGTCTCATATAGGCATCAGTCTTTCTACAGGAAATATTTTGTCTAACATGGATGTTTTTCTATCTCCCTCTGTTATCAGTTTACTTGGAATAATTTGCTCTAAAACACATGTAGATACTTACCTGTCTCCTGTAGTCCGGGGCCTCAAATCTGATGATGTTCTCCACAGCTAGTAGTGCAGACTTTCTGACATTCACCTTCTCATCTCGCGACCTCCTCCGCAACATAGACATCACACCATCATCATCAGGTAAGTCTGAAACATATATAAGTAAGTTTTCAGGTAACATTGAAACTCACTTCAAAGTCAATCAGTGCTTCAAAAAAATCCAGATTTTCCATTAATATAACAAACAAACAAAAAAGATTTTCTTTTCAAAGATCACTTAATAATTTTTTTAATTCCTAGCATATTAGTCCCTTTACACTTTTGATATACACAAGAGCTGGCGGAGAAGGATATTCAGAAAAATGAGCATATTCAAAAATAAATAAAAAGCTGTTTTGCCTTTAGTGCAAAATTGTTTGACCCTTCAGAAACCTCCATTTTAAATACATGCATCACTATCCAGATAGAAATATTTTTTATAATATTTTAAGTGTATTTAACCTTTGTACCAAAATTACATGAAATTAAAATCTTGCGAATGAGTCCTGAATACAAATTCTCAAACACTTACTGAATGTATAGGCAAAGATCATCAACTGTACATAAATGCAGTCCCCCCAGAGCCAGAAAAATATACAAACAGATTAGTTGCCATCAATTTCATCTTACAATCTGTAAAGTAGGATTACGCTTTATGATTACTTACTTGGGTTAAAGGGAGTCAGCATAACCCCACCAAAAGGAGTTTTAGGGTTGAGTATGGCCTGCGTATTGGAGGCTGTGCAGTCTGGAGTTTTCCCCCCTGCTCCCTGGATGGAATCTAAAGAGCAGCATTTGGTATTTCAGATCATTGTGACTATACAGAAATTAACTTTGATGAAAAAAGAATTAAATGCAATGTGTACCAATGAAGTGGAGCTTAACCCATTCACCCCTGAAATTTCATGATGAAATATTCCAACCTTTGAATCGGAAGACTTCAAATGTGTCTTCAGGGGTGAATGAGTTAAGAAATGAAGCTGCAAACACAACTAAATGTCAGTTAAGTAGAATGAACAATTTACAGTGACCTACACTTGATATCGGTATAGTTTAATGGCTGTACAACTTCTTGTATTAGAAAAATGCCCCCAAATTTTGTTCTGGTCTCAGCATCCCATTCATTCAAAAATATGTTTATCATGTACTTCTGTGAGAATTTTGAAACGTTTTACGATAATTCCAATTTTCCAAGTTGTTATAAAATGCCCAGGACAGTCACTAGGTTAAATATGGTACATGTACTTGGCAACATAAGATATATTATGTATAAATATGTATTTACCCTCTGCAGTAAGCTGTTGCACACGGTTGTCCATCATTGGGGTAGGAATGAGATGGGGGGCATGAGCAGGACGAGGCCCCGGGAATGGAGTGACAATCTCTCGAAGGGCCCCTTTAATATTGTTGTCGGCTGACACAAAACACTGGGCAAAGGCCGTTATGGCTCGAGCTCGTACACTGGTAACATTAACAGATCTGTTACTTAACTTAGTTTATTCTGAACACAGGCAAATCTTCCTCTATATTCAGATCATAGTCCATATTTATTAAATTATAATATATATATCAGTGTCTTTGATGTGACTTATCTTTCATAACTTCCTCAAAATTTATCAATGCAGTTTTCAAAAGTCATTAGATTTAGTGCTTAAATCAAGTTCTCAGGTAGAGAATTCCAGTTGCTGTTTCCTAACGTCTAGCCTGTTACTTGATAAGAGGCTTACAGTGATTTACAGATGTGTAAATCAACCGTGTAAGATAGGTAGTCCGAGTGTTGATATTATTGGCATACTAACATATAGCCTAAGTTTCCTCTGGCCCTGACTCCAGACTTAAGATAGATGTCTGGTGTGGGGCCAAAGCGCACTGCTATATGAAAATATGGAATTATCCGACACTGTTTGGTGTAGGAGATTTTGAGGTGCTGACAACAAAAATCGACTATGACACAACACATACCTCACATATATGTATAAATGGATTATTTATTGACCCAAATCTGCTCTTATTATCACCAGCAGCTGCTAAATTCCATCAGTAGAGTCCTCGGTTTTCAATCGTTCAAAGTATTCCACCTGAGCGGACGCCATATTTTGTATGTCAGGGTAGTGACTAATCAACAAAAAGAGGCAGTTCGAAAGTTTTCTAAACAAGAATGATATATTCCGTTTTTGGTCCTGATCAGTACGGCTCGTTGATTAGTCACTAACCTCTAGGTGTCCGATAATTCCACTTTTTCATATAGCAGTGCGCTCTGGCCCCACACCAGACATCTATCTGTCAAAATGTCTAAGTCTTGTGTCAGGGCCAGAGGAAACTCGGGCTAACTAACATATTGTAGCATGAAATGAAATGTTGTGATATATAAACAAAGCGGACTATAATTGAATTATAATATGTACAGATTTTAATACTTACGTAGGAGCACTGTCAGAACATCTAGCTAGCAGGAGTCCCATTATTGAGCGGTGCTTCACATAGTCCGCCAATCCTTCACCAGAGCTTTCTACAGCAACAAAATATGCTTCCAATTAAGACATTGCTACATGGTGCAAGATTTCATAATTTCTGCTTCCCGTTACATTATTTCTGGTACAAATCTTTGATCAGTCAAACAATTCAAATCAACGGTTATGAAATATGAAGATACTCATTGCCTATTTGTTTATTTGTGGGCAAATACATTTCTTGAAATAATAGATTGATGGCAACAAACAAAGGTATGACTGTTAATAATTGTTCATGCCTAATAACAATTTGTTTTTAATTAAGACATTTTTTTGTTTTAAGTTAAAGGGGCATCACGGTGAAGTAACTTTATTTTTTGTCTTTTTTTCAAATACTACATAAACATATCAAGTGAGAATCCTTATGGAAAATAACGATCGGATTTGGCTGAAATAGATTCATAAAAATGATTAAATCTAAGAAAATCATCGGTATTTCTACCTGTCTGACCAACGTTTTGTTCAGGGATTTCCCTCTACTAGCGCATGCGCATAGCACTCCATTTCTTTGTAAACAAAATGACTCGCCGTGTGAAGTAAGCGAAAGAAAAGTGTTGTACCGTGTCAGCTACGAAACGAAAAGTTGCCAAATGGTCAAAAGATAGCGCAAGGAGTACGTTACGGAATCATTATTGCAGGTGGGCAGTATTCAAAGGAGAAAATAACTGCCGTAGCAGTTAGTACGGTGCATGTATTCTTCCGGATAGCCGGTTAAGCTGAAATGGAATCGACAGAAATGCTAGCGCTGTTTATGTTATGAATAAATATCTAAAACTATTAAGCTCGCTAGTATCTTTGTCTGAGTTTGAACACAGATAAACTTAGTTCAGTATGTTAATGGGCATGTATTGGAGAGAGTTTACAGTGGTTTATGCGAAAGGAAGGGATAAGTGACTGGTTAGTTTGATTTTGCCATGAAGCCCTCCAAGGGATAACTGTTGTGATGGCCCACAGCGTATTTCCTGGGTCACCGAGATACGTGTTATCTAAGTCCGTGGATTTACATAATTTATTATTTACGGGTTCAATAAAATGGTATGATTTAATTATGTTGCTGAATTAAACGATTATTTTTGTTTTTACATGCAAGATTTAAATTAGTACTAATATAAATACCCGGCCTCCTCTGCCCCGGCAATATATAAAAAAAAAATCAGAAAGGTTTGTCCCTTGGTGTAGGGAAGGTGTTTAGCCCCGTACCATCTGTACCGGCCACATTCCGGTATTAAATTCAATATATATTTAAATATATCTACTTTATGTTTATGCCTATTTTCATTGTTTACATTTAATTGTAAATGTATGACAGGAGAAGGCTGTGATGAATTGTAACAAGAGGCCCATGGGCCTTAACGGTCACCTGATATACAGAGAGTTGATTTCGTTTTTAACATGAACAGAAATATTATTCAAAGTGACAAAAAACAATAAAACCACCTTATTCAATATCAACCATACAGATTTCAGACTAAAAAGGATTTGAAACTAGCACCACTGATTCTAAACAAGGAAAATGAAGAAATTTTAGCACACTGACTCCCTTGAGCCCCACCCTACAGCCCTTGGGGGTAGGGCTGGCTCAAAATTTTCAAAGTATCAAACTGTCAACTCAACCCCCCCCCGGGGTAAACGTGAGACCCTAGGGTCTTACAAA